AGCTCCTCGCACATTTCATTGTAGTATTTTGCTTTGTCATTCCGAGCAGCCTTTTGTAGTAATAGCAGTACATATAAAAATGTTATTAAAAAATGTTATTCATTGGTTTAAATAGTTCAAATGAATAGTTTACGCTATATACTGTTGTTGCTGTTGTTATATGCCATCGAGGCACTTGCGACTGACTCATAGTCACCCTTATGTACAACATCTTTGACCCCTGCTCTATCCTGTGCCAACTTTATTGTTGCTGACACATCTACCCTTTTTCACCCTAGCCACAGAATCAATCCATCTCATTGAAGGTCTTCCTCTCCTGTGCCCTCTCCACCCTCCCAAGTATGATGTCCCTCTGTAGGAATTGGCCTCTCCTTACAACATGTCCAAAGTAATGTGATGAGCTTCAGAATCCTTGCCTCCAAGGAGCAGCCTGGTCTCACCCTCTCTAGGTGAAACCTGTTCAAACTCCTAGCAGTCCATGGTATATTCTTCTTCTCCAGCACCAAAGCTCAAAGGCACCAACTCTCCTTCTATCAAACGTAGTCACTGTCCAGATTTCTGATGCATAGCAAGTAATTGCGAAGACTATGGAAGCAAGAGTGGCATCCACTTCCTAAACAACATGCTCCTGAAACTCTATGAACTTTGATAAATAGTGATAGTTTTAGAAAGGCTTCAGACCTTTTGTTCATAGGGTCGCCATGAGTCGTGCTCAGCTTGAAGGCAATCTACAACAACATGGCGCACCTTAATCTCCAGATTGATATCATTGCTCTTCAGTACTCTGGAGAGATCTCTGACAGCAGACTTTCCCAATGTAATTCTTCTTTTGATTTCCTGGCTGCTTGTACCAAGAGTGTTGATTGTGGAGCCAAGCAAGCTGAAGCTTTTAATAATCTCAGTCTCTTCACTATCTATCACGATGCTAACAACTGGCCCAGTGATAAGTCTTTGTTTACTTGATGTTGAAGTCAATCCATACTGAAGGATGCAATTCTTGACACTTCTGCAGCAAGTGCTTCAGGTCCTCCATAGTTTCAGCAGGCAGGGTTGTGTCATCTGCATAATGCAGGTTGTTGATGAATCTTCCTCCAATCCTGATACCACATTCCTCTGCATAGAGTCCAGCCTCTCGGTGATCTGTTCTGGCTGTTCAGGTTTGGTTTTGAAGAGGTCGTGGTACTGGGGATATCATAGCTAATGTTAGATGGATCTTGGCTGAAAGCAGGGGGCACCAGAGAAATGTCTATCTGTGTTTCTTTGACTATGCAAAGGCATTTGACTGTGTGGATCACAACAAACTGTGGCTGACTCTGAGAAGAATGTGAAACCTATACTTGGAACAAGAGGAAGAGGCAGTTGTCAGAACAAAGTAAGGAAACACTGCATGGTTCAAAATTGAGAAAGGTGTACTCTAGGGATGTTTCCTATCTCTGTAGGTCACATATAATGATCTTAAATTACACCAGTGTTTTTTCTATAAAATTGCACGTTTCTATCTGTTTCTTTTTAGGCACTAAGTGGTATGAGGGTTTTTTAAGTCTTCAAGAAAACAATCTTAAAGAGTTCCTTCTCCTTCCTTGACCCCAAACACAGCCTTCTTCTGTGAGTCCTCTTAGCACTGCAGAAAAATTCCTACACAGTACGTACATCTTAGAAAAAGTGAAGCCAGAGAGCTCCTTGGAGGCAAAGAAGGGAAAGCTCAGTCTCTCATACTGTGGGCATGTTGCTAGGAGAGGCTATTCCTTGGCAATGGACATCATGCTTGGAAAGTTGGAGGGTCAGCAAAGGAGAGGCAGACCCTCAATGAGATGGAGTGTGACAGAGATTATGAGGATGGCACAGGATAGGACTGGGTTCAGCTCTCTTCCTCATACGGTTGCTATGAGTCATACTCAACTTGACAGCATCTAACAACAACAGATATGTTCAGACTAACAAACAAAAGGCAGAGACTCCTCTGGTAGCTACTTAAGATAGTAAACATTAACAATCTTTACCTCCATGATATCTTTGATAAAGGGTGTCCATCGAGAAAGCCGAAAAGTTTCTTCTGCAGATCGATCCTTTCTTGATGGTCTGGCCTGTTGAGACTAATATGAAAGGGAATTTTCAAAACTAGTAATTTTATTCCTGGAGATTCTATTATGCTTTGGAATAAAGCCTTTTTTTATGGCATATAAAATGTATTTGACTTAAAACTAAGAGTAGAAATGCCTAATTCAAATAAAAAGCTCAAAATAGTTTGGTCACAAAATCAATCAGCATTTTGCACTTAACTCTTAACATTTATAATGATATCAGAAAATAAGTTTATTAAAGTGCTATAAAGCATGGTGGGAGAGTAAGATTCTAGAGCTCCAAAATTTGACTATGAATCTAAACTGTCAAGCAGGAGAGCTTATAACTATATTCTGCATTGAATTCTAGTTAAAATAAAGATTGAATCTATAATTGAAGTCTAATAATTGCTAAAAAGGAATCATAAAAAGGATAATAGCAAATGAATGAATGGAAATCCAAAAGCCCTGTGAATGTTCATTAAAATCAATAAAATTTTTTTAAAAAGGATAATAACAAAATGCAACAGAGGCTATAAAACAAAAGCACACTAGAAAAGAATGTATGTCTAAATTATTCACATACAAAAAAAGCAGACAGAAAAAAAGTTTAAAAATCTTCCTGACCAACCAAAAATATATTGTGGCATTAAGACTACTGTTCATATAGATTATCAGACAAGAAAACATATTTAAAGCAAACAATAACACAGGCATATAAAATGTATAGAAACGTTAAGTATGTATGAATGTAAGATTTCTTACTTGGGGGACAATGGGAACACCAAGGTAACTCCAGTTACGAATCATGTCACTGTCATTTTCTATCTTTACATTCTGGACCAACCTGTCCAAATTTTCTTCTGTTGTGCCTTAGATAAGTAAAAATACGAATGTACAATCACATAATCACGGAAATAATTCTAAGCTTTGGAAGGTATTCATAAAAAAGCTTTTTAAGTAAAAAGCATACAAATCTTGTCCCCTTCACTCTTCATCCAATTTCTTATTTTCCTATTATTCATCTTAACTAACTTTAGCTACAATCTTTGAATTTTCTAAGGCCCTATGATGATCAATAGTAAACCACTCATCTAATATTTGATTTAAGGTTGGGCATTTTAACACATTTATGAAAAGAAAATTCTCATTACCATTAATACCGAAGATATAAAGCAGGATTGCCCTTATTTTGTCGTATGTATCGTGATTTTTGCTGAGTAGAACTGGAAGGAGGACTCGCATAGAATCTTTCACTTTCTGTCCTTCTGCATCAGTTCCCAGTGCCAGGTCCTTCATAGAAACAACAATATTGTCAATGATGTAAAATACAAATTAGGCCACTGCACGGAGCCACAAGAAGAAGGGCAGACAGACCAACTGACTGACTGGAGGCACGGGAGGCGAGCAAGATGGCGCCGACTTAAGGCACCAAGAGGAAAGTGTTATTAATAAAATGAGGATATTGAGAATTACTATTTTTGACAAGGTCACCCAATGAAGCCCCACTTAATCCGCATGACACAATCTGCTGCTTAACCATGGTCTCTACCAAAAGATGGAAATCTATCGCCCTCATAAAGCCAGTGCCCAAGTACCACAGTGATGGCCACATTAAATCCTTGCATTCCATCTGCCCAGAAAACATGTCCAGTATAGCAAGCAGGTGCAGGGATTCAGTGTTGGTGAGAACTGCTCAGGATTTGATGGCCTGTTTGAGTTCTGTCAGTTATCTACTGGTGGTCTGCTGCAAGAGCTGTGAAACTTAACAAGACAGATGGACAGCACTGTGAAATGGGCTGCGGGCCTTCAACAAGCAAAGAAGTCTGAAGCACCTGGCTTGTGCTGTGTCAATGATATCGTCTTGGCCACCTTGGCACTGCATCACCAGAGGGTGCTATCAACATGGATATTCACCATGGTGATGGCGTGGAAGAGGCCTTCTATACCACAGACCAGGTCACAACTGTGTCCTTTGGTAAGTATGGGGAGTACCTCCCAGTAACAGGGTACAGACGGCATATTCTGGCAGCGCGAGGGCGACGCAGCGCGAGGGCGACGCAGCGCGA